GTTTACAATCTTAGGGTGACTGGTTTATAACTGTGTTTACTATCTTAGGGTGACTGGTATAAAACAAAAGAAATATTGAATAAAGGTGCAAAATGGATAATTGATGATGTTAAAAAATCTGGATTGAGAGGTCGTGGTGGTGCTGGATTTCCAACGGGTTGAAGTGGAGTTTTATGGACAAACCTTCAGATGGAAGGTAAGATAAAATTATTTTCTGCTGCAGAGTATTATGTTTACTGGAGTTCCATGTATGTGCTTTAATTTACTATGCTGCAGTTGTTTTACTGAAAATAGTCTTTGTGCAAACTTGATCACAAAGTATGTACTGTCCAACTGATGGGTTGTTGGTTGTTGCACTGAATCCATCATCCAGTGGAGTTTAAATGGTAGCTGGAATCGAATGACAAAACATTGACTCCCCGCGCTATGCGTGTTCCACTTGCTCAGTTATGATTCAGCAGAGCATCTACTATCCACTATCATGGTGTATAGAATTTTGATATTATTGTAAAAGGGTCAATTATTTATGAATAATACAATTACTTTTCATTCATATTTGTAGACCGCGTTACTTGGTTGTCAACGCTGATGAAGGTGAGCCAGGAACGTGTAAAGACAGAGAAATAATGCGACATGATCCACATAAATTAATTGAAGGATGTCTTGTTGCTGGACGATCTATGGGAGCTAGAGCAGGTTAGTCATTTATTATGTAGTATGTTATTCAGTTACATTTGTTTTTGCAAGAAACACAAGAAAATCACCTACATATAGGAGCCAATATTTTAGGGATTGGGTCCCTCTTTCAAGCAAAAGTGTCCTGGGTATACAATTTAGCATTGATGATTGAATTTATAAAGTATACTGTAAAATGGTTATTTATTCACTGGGTTTTAATTTAGCTTATTTGCTGGCTGGAAAATGCGCTAAATTAAAACCCAGTGAATATGTAAAATTTCGCATAGAACAAATTATATAAATGATAAAACTGTGAATTTAAAACCCACTGAATATGCCTGAAATGGTAAATCGGCGAAATTTAAACCCAGTGAAAATTAAGTCATTTTACAGTAATTCTCAAAAGTCACCAAGAAGCAATGATGACATACAATGTGCCGGCAGTGGTGTAGATAAGAAATGTTTTCTTTGCACTCTGGTGATGAAGATTCACATGTACTTCACAGTATTGGAGTCAGTGCAAAGCTAATTTGTGCCTGATTGACTGCCCAACCCTAACAGACAAATCAGAGCAGTTTGTTCGTTGACAGGTCTTTTTGACGTATCAAATTCTGCTGTGTGTATATTGTTTTGACTCAAATTGTAGCTTTGTGATGGTGTGTTTAGGCTATCAAGGTTTACTATGTACTACAGTTTTGTAATGAATCAAAACAACATTGTAACATGTTTGTTGCATAGAAATAAATACAAATAATTGATATTTTTGTTTGTTATAGCTTATATTTATATCCGTGGAGAGTTCTATAATGAAGCATCAAACATGCAGCTTGCAATTCAAGAGGTAAGTTGGCATTTGTTTACACAACTGGACACACTGCTGTACACATCACACAAAGTTAGATGGGAGTAGTGGACAAAGAAATATGATTGTCAAACAGCCTTGAAATTCTGTTCACCAACTTTTCATTCATCAGTATATATCAGAGTACAGTCTGCCCTGCCTCCCAAACACTAAGTATAATAAATAGGTTTGAGAAACTGGTTTGGACATATGTACTTAGACAAAGCAGTAAGGAAAGGGAAATGACACCAGGCTCTGTACTTTGTCAATAAATTGTGTCTGAACTTGGTGCATCATTTTCTTCACTTTTGTCATGTATGTAAAAATGCATTGAATGACAGTACCATATATATTCTAATAAATCTTTAACAGAAGCACATATGTCAACCAATCACATTTGTTATGTACAGTGTAATCAAAATATTTCTTATTTTGATCATAGCAATAATTAATGTAAGTACATATGCTGTAATAGAGCATATTGTAAAACATGTTGAAAAAGAGACATGCAATTTTAGCAAATTGTCGTAAAATGACTTAATAGCGAAATGTTGATTTAGTGAATCTGTTTTGTCATTGTTGATTTCCTGTTTTCACAATACATGTCTGTCGCGTGCCAAAACAAATGCGCGGTTATCACCTCCATAAAAAAATAGAAAACTGTCCCAGATTTTTATGTTTTAGATTACTGTATACAAATCTCCAAGCCTTTGGTCATTTTGAATCGAATAAAGTCATTAGCGACATCTTGAATTAGCGAATCAGTTCTCTCGGTAAATTCGCTAAAAAAGACATGCTCGCGAAAAAAAAGACATGTTTTACAGTAACCAACTTGTTATTACACTTTATTGGAGATGGAGTTGATAATTCAACCTTTCACGTTATAACTCAGAATCTTTTCCTTTCATTATGTTGATGTATTAATCTTCCACACTATATTGTATTATTTAGTGTTGCTTTGAATTATTTTTAACACAGTACACATGTAGACTTTTGGGCATTTATGATATTTTTAAAAAGTGATACTGAAATTAAAAGATGATATTCAGATCTGTTTTGTTCTTCACAAATTGTTCTGTTTAAAATTAAATCCACAAACAATTATTGTAAACTGTTTTAGCTTTGCTGTTGACTTTGTGGAGCTTATCACATGATTAATTATCTGTCATTGTCCATATCAACTTTTTAGTTTTTAGATTTCTTGAAAACTAAAAGCCTTATTGCTTTGATATTTGCTGTATATGTACCTTGGGCAGACCTCTCTCATTTATTTATTTATTCGCTTATTTATTTATTTATTCGCTTATTTATTTAATTATTTATATGTATTTACTACCTGTGCAACTTCTACCTTTACCGTTGTTTTTTTTTGTTTTTTTTGGTGAAATAAA